CAGCAAAGAACAGACTGGTGTCAGGCGTATCCCAAAGATGCCCTCCAATCTAGAGAAGTGCAGGTGGGATGGGTGAGTATGCAAAAACAGACAACCAAGGAAAAAGAATGAATCCTTGAGGGTGAAGTTCCTACATTGCACTTACTTGTTTATCCATCCACTCTTCAACAAACTGTTGAATGCCTACTTTGTGTCAGTCATTGTTCCAGACGCTTGTGTACAGCAGGGAACAAAGTAGACAAAAGTCCTTGTCTTGTATATTCACAGTGGTTCAAAGAGAAAGCAAATGATTTTCCTAAAATATAAAATATTTCTGATGATGTTAATTGCTGTGAACAGAAATACTTGAGAAGAGAGATAGAGTATGCCAGGTCACCTCCTATATAAAATAGCAAAGTTAGCAAAAACCCCACTGAAATCCTGACTCTAAGTCAAGACCTAAGGGATTCGAGGAAAGCAGTTACGTGGTTATCCGGAGAGAGTATTCTAGGCATGGGAACAATTATTGCAAGAATCCTCAGGATGATGTGGACCTGACATATTTGAGGTTCAGCAAGGAAGCCAGGATGACTGGGGCTGAGCAAGTCAAAGGCTAGAGAGTGGTACCAGTGGTCATCAGGGAGGGCCAAGGAAGCTCTGTAGGACTTTGGCATTGAGGGAATGGGATGGGAGCCTTCAGTGAATTTTGAAGAAGGGGATGTTATTAATGACAAATAATTTTAGAGGAGTATTATAGCAGTTGCAATGAAAAATAGAATACCAGTGAGACACAGTGGACTTCAGCAACAAGAGCACAAGACACTCAGGGACCAGCTTTTTCTATTGCTCCATGCAGAGAAGGAATGAATGTGAGATACAGTGAAATAGCTGGAAGTGGCCTTGATGCAAGATTCTTTGTGATATCTTAGAAGAAACCAGCATGAGGTCAACCAACAGCTGAAGCTAAACTCTCCCGTAGCCACTCTGTATCTTCAGAATTCAGAAGAATGTTCAGAAAGAAACATCCAGCCCAATAAATTTTACTAAATGTGACAAGACAAGATCATCTGGTCAAGACAAGGCTGAAGTGGAATAATAATGCATCTTCCACACTGGGTCAGAGCAAAGAGGAGATCTGAGCAGAGCTCTCCAAGTGAAGGATGAGAAAAAAAAAGGGGGGGGGGTGGTATTTCAACTATGCACACATTCTAGGAAACAGAAAAGAAAAAGAAACACAATCTGCAAAAGAGCAATAAAAAACTCAGTATGGAGTCATTTATATAAGACTCAAAAACAAGATGATGAAGCAATATGCTGTGATGAAAAGGAAGATTACCGAGTTAAGGAAACAGTCAAGGGCCAAGGAAACATCTTTACAGATCAAATGAATAAATAAATGTAAAACAGCAAAGAACAGATTGGGCAGGAGTACTAATTCAAACAACAGCATAGGACAAGGCTTTAGGATTCGTAGTAAATGCAAGGGAAAAAGATAAGCCAAGAAATCATGAAGAGATGGTGATAAATAAGAACTTTAAACTTGGGTCACATGAAGGTTACTCATATTTCTCCAGTGGAGCACTCAAGAAATATTGGCTCATCAGAAGTCATGACATGTTTCTCTATGCAAAAATGCACCATGACTTTTCTGATGACCCATTACAACAATGTTTCAGAGATGTAATTTCTGATATAAAAATACTAAATTTGCAAATCTTAAGGAAATTAATATCCTCGAAAAATACATAATTTGCTTGAAGACATTAAGCATATCCTCAATCAATATTAACTGGAGATAATAACTTTATCCAGGCAAAAAGGAGGGCCAGCAGGTGGTGTGGAGCTTAAGGAGGCTGGATTTTATATGGCCAACTGTGTGGTTCGAGCCTCAGACCTGGCAGCTGGAATACATGCTGGGCACATGTGTGTGCGTGCCCAGAATCCTGAGAGGAGAAATGGAGAAAGGATTGTGGTATGGCCATCTCACCTAGGAGGGAATTTCTCACTCTCATTCTCTCTGTCTCTCTCTCTTTTTATCTCTCTCAGAAGTGCACATGCCCTATGGCAAACTAAAAAAGAAAAGAAAAGAAATGGGAGTAGGCGTGGGATCAAGTTGGCCCCTGATTTCTCCATACCAACTTTTTTCCAGAAGAAATCAGAATAAGGTCTACAAAACCTCCAATAAGGGAATGTACAAACCAAGATTATTAAAACTAAAGACATTCTCAAGTATGAAAGAATTCAAAATGAGCCATTTTGAAAAATATACTGCGAGACTAAATTCAGTTACAAGATGAATTTATTTACATATATATATATACATGTGTGTGTGAGTGTGTGTGTGTGTGTGTATGTACATATGCATATCTCTAGAGTGAAGATGTTATGGTCAAAAGAACTAGTAGTTAGGAGTTAACCCACTTAAATAAGAATAGGCAATAGCACGATAGCAAATATTTTGATTGCTGAATAGAATGTTATTATTTTAAATTCAAAATTATCAGAGCAGCAAAATTTAGGAGGCAAAAAAAGGGAAATTGGAGAAAGTATCATGTGTATCCCTTTATCTTTCAGAGGGGAAGGTTAATTAGTTCCACTTGAAGAATTGAGCGTGGCTTAAAAGAAAAAAGTGATGCCAATTTATTTATTAATAGTTTCATCAAGTTTTTACGTAACCTTTGAGGAATATTTGAGGAAATATTATCATTGGCAGTGAAAGAAGCATGATCTAAATTTCAGCAGTTCCTCGAGTTTCACTTCAGTTTTTTCTCTGGTTACATTCAACTGAAATTAGGTAAATGCTTTATTTTAATAATATGTTCAGTATGATTTCTAATTAGCTAACTGCTATCTATCAAATAGCCTCCTATTTCTCCATCCTTTTCAGGCACAGGGATATCTGGAATGATGTTCACCATAAGTTAATGCAGGTTATTTCCTGCTGGCTGAATTTTGGGATAATTTGTTGCTTCCTTCTTCAGATTTTTTTTAAAAAGGTTTTTAAGAATTATTTTATTACAAGCATTTATCATTTAATGAAAATTAAAGCTATTATGTTCAAATATAACAAATGGTTACAAACCACAGTAAGATACCTATTTATGCCCATAAGAATAGCTATATTGAAAACAAAAACAGAACAAAATAACAAGTGATACTGAGGATGTGGAGAAATCAGAGCCCTGGTGCCTTGTAGGAATGCAAAATGGCCTAATCACTACGGAAAATAGAATGGAAGTTATTTCCTCAAAAAAATAAATAAATAAAAAGTAGAATTATTATAAAACTCAGCAACTCTATTTCTGAGTATAAACCTGAAAGAATTGAAAGCAGGGTCTCAAAGAAGTACTTGGACACCATGTTCATAGACACATTACTGACAATAGAGCAAAGATGGTAACAACCCAGAGTCTATCAATGAACATAAATGGATAGGCTAAATGTGATTTTCACATACAAAGAAATGCTATTCAACCTTAAAAGGAAGGGAATTTTTACATATTTTACAACATGGATGAACCTTGAGAACAATATGCTGAGTGGAATATGTTAGTCACAGCAACATATATACTATACGGGTTCCTAGAGCACCTCAGATTTATAGAGCAGTCACAATCTGGAGACAAAAAGTGGAATAATTGGTTTTAGGAATGGAGAAAAGGGAGAATTAGGGGTTATTGTTTAGTGGGTATAGATTTTTAGTTTTGCAAGATGAAAAGCGTTCTGGAAATGAAAGTGGTAAAGGTTGCACAGCAATTGAGTGTATTCAGTACCAGTGAACCGTGTACTTAAAAATGGTTAGGTTAGTGGGACCAGCAGTTGGTGTAATGGCTATGTCGCTGGACTCCCATGTAGTTGACTCTGGTTTGAGTTCAGACCCGGTGGCTTAAACTCACGCCAGGTGCGTGTGCGTGCATGCCCAAGATCCCGAGACGAGAATGAAAGAGAAGGGATTGTGGCATGGCCATCTCCCCTAGGGGTGATTTCTCGCTTTCTGTCTCTGTCTTTCTGGCAAGCATACATGCCCTATAACAAAAAACCCTCTCCAAAAAAAAAAAAAAAAAGTTAGGTTAGTAACTTTCATATTACAAGTATTTCATCACAATTAGAAAAAATGTGTATTAATAAAGAAATAAATAAAAATGTGCTCATTAATTAATTAATTCAAATTAATTAAATGTAGTGATAAACTGGTGTTTGACGGCACCTGAAATAGGAATTATTTCTCACTACAGATCAATGTGATGAGATCTTGTGTCTTGTAAAGGACCTTATATAAACAACACCTTTACCTTAAACCTCCCATCTTCATCAGCATATCCACATTTTAAAGATGATAAAGCTAAAACTCAGATATATTAAAGGACAAATACAACGTATACACACTTCCGAGCACTGAGAGGAAGCTCAAATCCACGTTATTAATTCCAAGTCTATTCATCCATTCATCAATTTTGTGCTGAGGCTCCATTCTGTCCCACATATTATGTATGCTTCACTATGGCATAATTTCTAGACTTCCTCTTGATGACTAATTTTGACTAAGAATTTCCTCTTTAGTTGGTTAAAGCAAAGGATATAGTAATATTTCACACTGATTTAAAGACTAATTCAAAGCCATCTCAAAATGGTCCATCTATTTAGCTTTCCTTTCATCTTTTCTTTGAAGATGAAATAGTTATTGATTTTACATATACTCTTCAGATTTATTTTATTTAAAAAAATAAAATATGCTGAAAGTGGAAAGCTGGAGTTTGTTTATAATTCTTTCAACTGTACATTTATGCTTTGTGTACTTCCTATATATAGTTCTATTTCATGATTTTTAAGAAGTTGTTTTAAGACTGTTAAACATGAGAATGATTTATCAGTTTGCTTTACTTAATAAATTCAACGTTTATCTGTGATAAATAGTAAAACATCCACAATTAACTATATATAAAGGTGGACAGAAGTGCATATTATTTACTTATTACTGTGCTCTAAAATACCCCCCAAACAACAAACATTTATTTTCTTACAGACTCGAGGTACAGGCAAGGCTTAACTGGGTGCCTCTGGCTCTTCCTCTCTCACAAAGTCAGAATCGATGTGTTGACTAGTGAAGTCATCATGAACCTTAACTGGAAGAACCTGCTTCCAAACTCATCCATTTGGCTGTTGGAAGGTCCTGGGGAATTTGTTAGCTCTTGATCAGACACCTCTGGTCCTTACCACATGGGTTTCTCAGTCGGTCTGTTCAAATATGTAAGTTTGCTTCTCCTAGAGTGAATATTTTCAGAGAGAGACAGAGACCCCAAATGGATGCTGCAGTGTTTTTATTACCTAATCTCAGAAGTTACATCCAATCATTTCTGTGTTATTCCTTTAGTTAGAAGTGAGTCACTAAATGCAGCCCACATACAAGGGCATGACTAGCACGAGGCAGGATCATGGGGAGCCTTTGCGGAGGTTGCTTTCCACAGATTGCAAAGTCATGTACCAAAACGTTAGCAATGGTTGCCTCTAGATGGTGTCATGGAATTATGGGTATTTTTATATTCTTACTACATTTCTGCTTTTCTAAATGGCACATTGTGCAGAGGTAAAAGCAGGCAAAGACATAGTCTCAATGTTCGAGTTCTGCTTCTTTAACTCAGCATGTGTGTAAAATGCAAGGTAAAGTTCTTAGCCTGACTAAGCTTTGATCTGCACAGTGCATACCTCTATGGTTGTCATAAAGATCAATGTGCTACGTATGAAAGGAACCAGCACAGTGGCACATTTTAAGAGTTTATTAAAATGAGTGTTTTCTCATCGGTGAATATATATCATTTTTAAAATGAGAAAAAGGTGGGTGGGTTATTATACTATTCCCATTTATGTTTATATTTACATTCTCATTAGTGGGGGAAAGATATGAACACATAAAAGATAGGAAAAGTGAGAGCAAGAATTATAAGCCAACACTAAAGTATGAAAGTCAGATCATAATAAAAATATTCAAAATACAATGAAAAAGGGAACAGCAGTTAGGGTAATGGCTATGTCATTGGACTCCCACGTAGTCGACCGTGGTTTGTGTCCATGACCCGGTGGCTTAAAACTCATGCCGGGTACATGTGCATGCGCACCCAATATCCTGAGAGGAGAATGGAGGAGAAGGGATTGCGGCGTGGCCATCCCCCCTGGGGGGTGATTTCTTGCTTTCTGTCTCTCTGTCTCTGTCTGTCTGGTGAGCGCACATGCCCTATAGCAAAAACTTCTCAAAAAAAAAAATACAATGAAAAAGAAATACAAAATGTGACAATTGTGGAGAGGGATGTATTTCAGAGAAGGTAGGGCAAGCTGTGAACAGGTTCAAGTGCAGGATTAAAAAATTTGAATTTTTCTTCAATTCTTTACTTACTGGATACCTCTTCAAACCAGACACTGAGGGGACAGTGCTTATTAAGCAGAATATTTGTCTGCTAGGATTAAATAGTCTGGAAGGTGGGGACAACACCATTCAAAATAGTCAGTGACTTCAGTGTTAGAGATTAGCAGGTAATCAACAGCCATTTATTGAGCACCTACTAGAAGCAGGCACAGCGTTGATACTGGAAGCCACTGTCTTCAAAGAGCTTATAGCATAATTGCAGGAGATGGATAACTGAACAGACCATTTAAGTAGGACTCTATTAGTTAATATAATAAATGCTAAAAAGAGCAGAGAGATGAGATGGAAGAGCAGAGAAGGGCAGAGCAATGGCATAAGGGTTTAGGAAAGGTCATGTTTCAGCTGAGCTACACCAAGAAATAAGAGAGGGGAGTTCTGTTGAAGGACCATCCTAAGTTCAGGGCACTATGGCAGCACAGAGGAAGATGGCATCACTGAGAAACAGGCTGGAGGGCTCAGGCAGGTTAATCAAGTCCAGGTTATGTAGAGTTAACAACTACAGATGACAGGAAATAGACTGCATGTTACAGTTTGCAGAGAGCAATGGCATGGTGAATGCTCTGCTTAAGGATGACCATGTGTTTCCTTCAGGGGACATGTAGAAAAGCTGTGAGTTCAACACCTGGCACAGAGGTGACCCTGACATCAAAAGCTGAGCAATGATATACAGTGATTAAGTGTAAATAATAATAATAATTTTTTTAAAAAGCCAGGTTCACCTGGGGCTGTCTTCCCACGGTGACTTCCTTAAATGCCAGCGACATCCTAGTGCCTGTAGAAATAATTTTATCTCAGGCATCTTTGACAGAGTGTCATAGAGAATGACAGAGAGAACTCTCAGAACAAATTCAACTACGCCAAGACTCAACCAGGTCTTCACAGAAGGTGTCTTCAGTGGAAAAGTGTCAGCAAAAGCAGAGCAGAGCCTGAAACAGAATGGGAGACATTTTTAGTCGCCACCACAGTGGGACAACCGTCTGAATTTACTATTCCGGAGCAATGTGACTTTGGGAAATCTTTTTAACCCAAGTTTCACATCTATAAAATAAAGATAATAACTTCTACGTCATAGTACTGCTACAGGGATAAAATGAGACTACTGTGACAAAAAAATAAAACACTAACTAATCGTAAGTTAATTTTATTATTATGTAGCAGAGTGTAATTGTTAATGCTTGGACTCTAGAACCTAGGCTTGGGATCAAATCCCAGGTCTTTCAATTACAAGCTGTTTGATCCTAGATAAGTTACTTAACCTCTCTGAGTCTCCAATTCTTTATCTATAAAATAGGAAAAATAACAGTCACTACTTCAAAGAAGTTTTATGAAACATATATGGTTAATTCATGTAAAACTTGAGAATGATACAGGCTACAGTAAATTCTCAGTAACTATCAGCTATTATTCTTATTGAGTAATAGTTGGAATAATACTACCACTAGTAGTAGTAGTAATACTTCTGAGCTCTATGATTCTGGCTTCTATAAAATACATCTGTGGGTAGAAAAGAATATATTAATATGGTGGAGAATTATCTAGCACCCGAAAGTATCTTTATGTATTTTGTGTTTTGCAAACCAAAAGGCAAGGTTGCAACATTATTCTCAGATTAAACATAAGGAAACAGAGACTTGGAAATAGTACATGAATTTCTTATTGTCACAACTAGAAAAGGCTATGCAGTGAGTTGAACCTGTTTCCTGATGCTAAATTCAGGACTGCTTCTGATAAACTAAACTTTTTTGCTGTGATGGATACAACACACTTTTAATTCATTTTGGGACATCTCACCAGGCGTTTCCTTCAGTTGATCTAAAATCAAACTGTTCAATACTAGTGAGTCTGGCTGTTCTTTTAAACAGCTTTTGTCTCCTCTAATATTGTCTTGCAGCTTTCTCCTCCAAGAAGACATTTTCAATTAACCATTAGCTTATGTTGCAAACATTTGTTCTTAAATGCACTCATTCATTCTTGTAGGTGATTAAGGCTGATGGGTGTATAAATATACAAGTACATAAATGACAAGTCGAACCATGTACATATGGTAATTTAATTTTGAGATGAGTACCATGTTTACACACTTCTATCAGGCCGCCTACTTTTGATGAATGTGCAATTTCTTACCCACCATTTTATCACTGCCAATATTTAAGTATCCTAAGTGCAGCACTAGAAAAAAAAAACCATCGACGCTTTCCAAATCATTTGCAGCTGAGAAAGATAAGCAGTGGGTTCCTTGCTAAATTCTAAGTAAATTGATGCTCCCTACTTCATTAATGCTGCATGTTCAGGCAGGCCCAGTGATTTGGAATGTGCCACTGGGTGAAATAACATTGATCCTAGGTGGGAACACAAGATTTAAGACAAAATTGAATTATTTGACTGAAAAATTGTTAAGAATATTTTAGACTGTAACAGACGATAAAATTTTAAAGGTATGTAAAGAAAGAGAAGGAATGACAAATCTAGCTAAGTGATATTAACTAAGAAAAGGTCAGGCATCTAGAAAGGAAAACTAAATTTAAAAGTAGAATGGTTCTATTCAGAAACCTACAGAAAGGAAACTTGATGTTGCTGAAGACAAAACGGTAGAGATGAGACCAAGGTGGATGAAGGTCAAGTTGCAGAGGATCTTGCATGTAATGCTAAGAAATATGTGAGGCCATAGAAAGGTGTTAGATAAAAAGGGCATGGCCAGGGTTAATTTTTAGGTACATCAGACCAGTGGAAATGGGAAGAAGATCAGGATGAAGATATCTCATTTCCACAGCAGGCTGGAGCTTCCAACACTCTGCTCCTTACTCACTGTTGAGTGCTGTTTAAACTTTCCCAAGTACCATCCTCCTCCCTTCACAACCAGGAGGCATGGAGAGTAATTTCAAAATGTCAGAAACATTCTAAATGATCAAAGTAAAAACTTAGAATCACCCATGACCATTAGCAAATCAAAATGTTACTAAGTTTCATGGGACTCAATGCTGAGAGACAGGAGTCCCCGGATACAATGTGAAACCTGAATTAAGTGGGCACACCCTCTCTGAGGGACTTTTTTCACACTCAGGGTCTTATCTAGAGCTGAGCTGTTGTACAACTGTGGGTTTTACAAACCTGAACTCATGAGCTCTTAAAGCTTCATATTGCAACTTCACCCCTCTATGAAACTTTGGGGTCTTGAAGCAAAACTGAAAGTTCCAAAAACCCGCAAGGGACCTCTGCTGTCATGTTCTCTCCAAACCTCTCCTACCAAAGTATATCTTCTTCTGTTATTGCATGTGCACTTCACAGATGTCGGATTCACCCAGATTCCGAGTGTCTCAGCCCTTGGTTTAGATTCTTGTTCTGTAGCTTTCTGACTATCTGACCTGTAAATCCACTTAATCCTGTAAACCTCAACTTTCCCATCCAAGAGATAAAAGGTTAAGTAGATAATGCCTGAGGAAGCTTGGAGCTCTCCAACATTCTGAGACTACAACACATCCTCTCCTAGATGCTGAAGGAGAAAAGGAAAACAAGCCACAATGCCATCATCACAATATAGCAGTGATATCAATAATAAGATACCCAGGCTAGTTCATGTGTAGTGGTTAAAGCACTGGATCCTACATGGCTGACTACAGTTCAAGTCTCAGACCCAACAGCTTGAAAAACACACTGGATGTGTGTGCATGCATGCCCGTATGCCCAAAACCTCAAGACAAGGAATGGAGGAGAAAGATGGAGGAGAAAGGATTGCAGAATGACCAAGTAAAGTGCTATCTCTCTCTCTCTCTCTCTCTCTCTCTCTCCAGGGAGCAAATTCATCCTCTAGGAAATTAAAGGGAAAAAAAAAAGAGACTAGGTCAAGTGTCTAGTAATATTAAAGATTCTTCAGCTTTATTATCAAATGAGAAAATAATCTACCTTAATGTACATTATAACCTCAATTTTTGCAGAATAAATGTACACATAGCAAAATACCCAAAGAACAACCTGATAGTCACCTATAGCCATAAAATGTCCTTTCTTGTGTTTATTTTCTCATATTTTACAAATAACATACAAGTTTTCACAGTAATAAAATAACTTTCATCAATTAAAACAATAAGGGATAGTAATTCTCTAGAGTGTCATGACCCCTTGATTATTATTCTTGCCAAACAGTGAAGATGTGACATTTAATCTGAAACGCAATGACTAGTTAAACTAAATTTTTTCTTATTAAGTCCTCCATCTATTGTCCTACTCTTTTCTCCTAAAAAGTTCCATGAGGAACTTATGGTTTCTCATAGATAAGCACTGACTTCCCTGACTAAAGCATACACTGCTCAACAGAAAAAAGCAATTCTCCTGGTTCTCTTATATCTTCTCAAGAAAAACAAACGAACAAAAACACACACACAAAACACACACACACACACACACAACAACAACAAGCATTTGCCCACGCACCTTTTTTACAAAAAATGTTTTTCCCCCCCCCCCCAGAATACACAGAGTAAATAAACCTGCACTTCTCATGGGTATTTTGCAGTAGGTAGTGGTATTGATACCTAAGTCAATGGACAGTTGTACAAAAATCCTGTCTCCAATTCTTACTAATAAGTATACCTGTCTCCCAAAGTCAGGGTCTTCAGTTGACTTACATTTTTTTAAAGAATTGTTTATTTTATTTTCTGTATTTTTTTTTAATTTGACCAGAGAGAAAGTGAGAAAGCAAGCCAGAAGGTCCAGGACTCAAGCCATGGTAAGCATGTGGGAGTCCATTGCCACCTTCCAGTCCCATTCAGTTGACTTCCCTCATCCTGCATTGTTTTCTTTGTAACTTGAACCCAAACCCTGGCAGTGTAGCAGTCAATGCACTGGGGAAATTGAGTACAGGTAAAGGAATAACTAGGAAAGTAAAGAGAGTTAATACATGAAAGGAAGGTTCTATACAGAAGCAAGCACTTACCGGGACCAGACAGAGAAATGGAAAGAACAGAGAGAGGAGAAAAGAAGTGAGAACCCCTTACTTCTTTGACCTAGGCTAAAGGAAGGCAAAATCAATCTTTGGAAAATCAAGTGGTGGACCAATCCACTACACTGCATTTCTTTAAATATCACCTGTCTGCATGCCAGCAATTCCCAATCTTTATACCCTTCCTGAGTACCATCTCTCAAACTCAACTGTTGTACTCAACTCACTATTTTATATGTGAACTTGGATGCCTAATCAACAACTCAAACTTAACATGACTGAACTTATCTTCCCTCCCAATCTTACACAGTCTGTAGCCTCGCCATCTCAGTGGATGACAAACTCATCCTTCATGGGCTGAGGTCAAACTAAGAATAGCAGTCATCTGTGCTACCACTCTTGCTCATATTCCATGCATTTGGTCTGGAAACACAATTGACTCTACCTTCAGAAAATGTCAGAATCCAGTCACTCCTCACCAATCCCATCACTACCATTCTGGTTCAACCCACCATCATATTTTGCCTGTATTACTGCACAAACCACATTTTCCCCCTTTCCTAATTCCCTGTAGTCTATTCTAAGCACAGAATCCAAAGTGATCCTCTTAAGACATTTATTTTCTGACACTCCTCTGCTTTAAATAGTGTACCAGCCCCCCTAGTTGGTAGAAATACATCTCTTTGGTAGACAAAGGCCTACAAGACCCTACAAAAGAATTTATATAGTATCATCCTATGGAGTTTGAACATTATTATTATAAGCAATAAGAGGCCATTGAGGATTCTGAATTATGAAAATGATATGAACATTTTCTGTTTCTCAAAGGTAGTAATGTGAAGTATATATTAACCTGAGGGAAGAGATTAGAACCCAGGATATAGAATCAGGGACTGTCACCATAATCTAAACAAGAGTAAATGAAGGCCAAAACAATGAGAAGAGAGGAATAAAGGGGGGAACATGTGAGACATATTTAGTATGTTAGAA